TTCTCCCCTTTTTCCCCCCCCTCTCTCCTCGCAGCGGGGGACGCTGCTGGACGCATGGCACCGGGGAGCTCTCTGACCACCCCGTGCGCCGGGGGGTTAGCGGGGATGAGGATTGACCTGAGGATTTCCCCGAGGATTTCCCCAAGCGGCTTAGGCTGAGGGGGACGGGGGGGGGGGGGGGGGGGCAGAGCTGCAGGGAGGAGGGGGTGCGTGTTGGGCTGGAAGAGCCGGGGCTGGGTCCAGCTGGGGAGCTGTGCAGAGCTGGGTCCAGCGTGGGGAGGGCTGGGAGCTGCAAGGGGTCAGAGGGTTTGAAAAGGGGTTATGTGGGGTGAGAAACTGGACTCTGGCACAGGAGGCCTCTGGGTGAGGAGTCTTTATCTCCTCTGCTCTCCTCTCTGGCTGCACATTTAACAGATTTAAGGCTGGGGAGATTGCAGGATTACTGCTTTTGTGGTACAGCTGCGTTTCTTGCCTCCATCCTGGCAATCTCTGCAGATAAATGACAATTGCACCTAGGTAAATCTATGAGGGATGTATTTCAGCCAGCTCATTTCTTTCTTCTGGGTCATGTTATGCACTGCTGTGTTTAAAATATTAGCACATCTACTTGGAGATCTGCAGCATCGGTGAGGTGGCCAGGTGATGGGAAGCCCCATAAGCTTCTTTCCTGCACACTGAGCACTGGCTGAACTAGAGTTTGAAACTCAGAATGAAACTTGGATCTGAGTTAGTCTATTACAGGTCTGAAAGACTTTCACATTCTGATACAGATTTCTAAATAGTAAATATTTTCTAAACTTAACATGACCTTTTGTTACAGAAGCAACCATATGGGCACCAAGCAGAGCTCTGCACATAGATTTGTGCATCTACTTTCATCAAGTGAACTGGAGCTGCAAGTGCGTTCCTAGGGGCATAATTTAAAATTAAATTTTAGGAATGATTCATTTTGTGAATAGCTTTCAGTCAAATTAAATTAATTCATAAATGTGGTTTTTGTGTTCAGTGAGGACTGTGTCCTTTAGATGTCCACAGTACACAGTATCTCTTAAATAATTTGATTGTTTAAATATATATCTATAGAAAAAATCAAATTTAAAAAACAGTAATGATCTAAAAACTTCTAATGCAGCCAGGTAAAAGCTATAATACTCATACAAAGTTAGTAAAATATATTTACTTTCAACTAAAAAAAAAATTTTTCTACTATATGGGTGTTCAAAAAAAAACCAAAACCAAAAAAACCCCCGAACAACCAAACCTGAAAAAATTTAAAATTCTTCTAACAGTGTAGCTCCAACATACTGTTTTCCTAACACACAGTATGTTAGTTTTCATGTAAAAATTTTGTAATAAAATCACAGGGCAACCCATTGACTCTTTTAAGAGGTCTTTTATGGAAAAGAAAAGGGGAGGAATACTACCTCACTGTAAGACATAAGCATTCATTTCTTGATTCTCAAACATATTAGATGCATGTTGTCTTTGCACAGAATATAAACAAAGGTGCTTCGGTGTGTGGTTGAGAACACGGGAAATGCGTAATGCAGTAAGTTATTCAGGGAATCATCATTCCAGAGCCTGGTATTTGAGCCTGGTATGTGAGTAGCTCCATAGAAAGGCAGTCAAAAGCTAATGGATTTAAATATATAGTCATAAGTCAGTGGTGATTAAAACATTTCATGTCAGCCTGGCAGCATTAGCAAACAATAAAAGAAAATTTCCAATGCTTGTGATGCCTTATCTTCAACCTTGGAAGTCAGTGGGAGTTTTATCATTGACTTTAGTAGAGTAGGGCATTAAATGGAAGGTATGGGCAACTAGTTATGTGGAATATGAGAATTTATTTAAGATATTTCATTATTAGTGAAAAAGAGGCACTTGGAGCAAGCTGAACAAATATTATAAAATTGTCTATTTACAGCAGTTTTCCTGGTATCTAACAATGAACAGAAGAAAATAGGCTGTTGAGCATACTTTTGTTATGCCTTGTGCTAGGTTTTTAATTTGCAAGTTAATATGACAAATAATGTAATTTGACAGTTCTGAGATATTAACTCTGTACTTTTCTTTACAGTGTAGCTCTTGCAATATATTACCACATCAAAAACAGGTATGTGAATAATGAAATCTTGTACTAAATGTATCTTTAATTGAAACAAATGGTCTGCCTAAACCCTAAAATTCCATGCTCTGTTTCTTTCAAATTGGTTTGGGTAGTAGTTTTCTTATTTCCCGTCTTAGAAATGGGAAACAGATCCTTTTATATTTTTAATATATATTAGTTTTCTTAGAAAAATATTTTTATTGTACATAATCATCTAATTTATCTGGAAGCATAGTTCAGCTTTGAAAAACTTTGATGATTCAGTGTTTTGTTCTATGTGCACTGGGCACATCTGCGTTGTTGCATATGTTGCAATTGCATATAGAGAAATCTGAAGTGTCTCAGGTTTATTATTTTAGACTACACCTTTATAAATTTAACTGCACAAATCAATGACTAGTTAATGTTAATGGATTTTGACATAAAACCCATTAATTATATAGTAAGAGTGACATTGTGAGTAGATGTAATTCAAGATGCCTCAGAAATAGAACAGGTCCTGGCTTATCTTTTCTGGTGTAGTATGTTTTAGATCTCTGCTCAGTTAATTAAAATTGAATATAATAGTCTAATATATCTATATCTAAATATATCTAATATATCTATAATCTAAAAAGTGACTTGGTACATAAATTACCTTTCTTCATATCGAATTGCACTTTTGTGTCTTAAATTCCATGTTCTCATGATATGTCACAGTATCATAAAATAATATTTTCTGACATCTCTGAGATTGTATAAATATTTTAAGTGACTTGTGTGTCCATGGCTTTTCAATGTGTCTTTTCAGAGAACTTGGCTTAGATCTAACAAGCCACTTACACGTTTTTTCTTCTGGGCTGTAAGAGGTCCAACTAGAACAAAAGGAATTTACACATAAGTTTAAAGTTAAGCTGGTACGTCATTCAGGACCATGTTTCAGGTCACTGGAACCCAGCACACTTCTTCAAACAAGGCTGACATCTAAAGAGAAACCTTTGCAAGTGCTCAAGGGCAGAAAGGCTTAGGGCTTGATCCCTGCTGAAAGCTCTTAGAAGACCTTCCAAGATGTCAGTGGGCTTTTGACTGAAACATGGTAATATGTAAAGCAAAAGCTGGAGTGAAATATTTTTGCTAACATTTAATCTCATTTCCCAGGAAATGAGGCATTAGTTTGATTGTGCTTGGATTATTTGTTTATCCATCTGTGGTTCCCTTTTTCTCCTCTCCTCCGTCATCCCTGGGTTAGTTTGGCTAACTAGTCAATTTTTACTACACTTGACTAAGTAGTAGAGATCTCAAAGATAATTGGACTCTAAAGTTTTATGGAAATAAGTTATTCTTAAGCACTCTGTTAAGTATCATGCCAGCTGAGCAAAAGAGAATTCAGGAGAATGGGGCACAGGTGGGTGGGAAACTTCAGTAGGAGCACACAGTTGAGGAATCCAGAGGCAAAGTGTCCCATGTCAATGTCTTGAAAACACATCCTGAATGTTATCTTCTTGGGAAATCTGCTCTCTCTCCATTCACTTTTGGGATGGAGAAGTGATTTGTTCAAGAAGAACTGGTTGCTGCTTCTCACTCCTGAAGCTGCCCAGGCTGAGGAGATGTGTTGTAAACGTGCCCTCTGCCACACGCAGGACAGATGGTCTCACCAGTGATGCTGGAGCAGGCTTGTGTATGTCAATTAACGACTCTGAAATGAAGGATGTGAAATGACTGTTCTGTCTTTGGTTGGCTCTGATTTAGGAATGGAGGGACATTGTGATAACAGCATTCAGTTGTACTTGCTGCTGAAACAGCAACAACAAAACATATGTTCTGTTTCCTGCCATTAGAGGCAAAAAGGAAGTTGTGGACATATGTGGTAGATTTTGGTTCATTACAGAGGGTGGAGAGTAAGAAACCACTGTAACTTACATAGATGCAGGGTTGATTTTAACAGAAAACAAGTCAAACACCTGCTTTGCCAGAGAAAAATTCTTTTCAGACAATATTTATTTGTTCCTTTTATCTTGCACAGTAGGCTTAAAACTAAATTACTTCCTAATACTCCAAGGTCTCACCAATGCCAGCTCTTTTAGAAACTAAACATGAAACAGAATATTCCTTCATATGTTTCCCACATTTCATTTGATTGTAGCATTCTAGTTATTCCTTCTTTTCCCAGTCTCCTGTCATGTCATGGATTGACTTCCTGCAGCTTTTGTTATGCTTAGCTACTCAACAAGTGGTAAAAGACTACACCTATCTTGTGTTCAGAGGAATGCATAAGTATTGATGAATGTACTAAATCAATAAATAAAATAAAACCCAACAAACTAAACATGAAAAATACTTAGATCAATTAGTAGATGGTTCATTTTTGAAAGATAACAATGTGAATTTGTTCTAATAAAGCTGAAAACCTATTAACTCTTCTTTTTTTGTGTAATAGATTCTTGGAGGGCAATCAAATGTGCCTTCATAGCTTGCAGCAGCTACAGCATGGAGAAATAAATAGGAAATTCATTCTTTCAGTCTGTCTTGTCTTCTCATTGTGAAAGGCCACAGTTTACTGTAGCACATCAATGATTCCAGTGAGACTATTTCTGCATTAAGATACTAGCCTTTTCATGTAGAGATAAAAGAATCTGGCCTAAAATCCTTGCTCATTAGGAATTTTCTAGTAATTATCTAAATCTGTTGTTTTGTTTTGTTTTTTTTTTAATTTAGGGACTCCATTTTAAAACCAAAACAAACTCCACAGTTTTATTTCCAGTGTCAGCAGGCTTTATAGCAAAAAAAAAGGTCACCTTCAGATGTTGAGGTTGAAATGTTAGCTGCTGAGAAGTGCATTTTGTAGATATGAACCCACTGTAAAACTCATGTTGGATGCCCTGAGAGACACGTGCTGTTGAGTAAAGATAGAAAACATATTCAGTGGTTTCTCTCTTAAGAACTCTGTGACCAGAGTACCAGGGATGCTATAAATAAAGATGGGATTGTAATAAGTAGGTCACAGGGATGCATCTGTCCTGAAAGCGTCCAGTTCTAACTGGTGCTGTTACACCACTCGCTTTTGTGATTGTTACTGTTCCTGCCGACGTTACGCACAGCCAAAATCTTATATTGCATACTGGCTGTTAGGCTTGTGGAGTTGCATCAACTTGCATGCTGATCTTGAGCAACAGGGATAGGGGAGAGAAACAGCAAATAAAACCAATGAATAGGAATAATAATTTGTCTGACTTTTTTTGTATGTAGTCCTTTTTGCTTGCAGAAATAGTGTGTAGGATAGGGTTTTCCAAAAAAACAAAAAGCGAAGTGTGTAAGTATTAACTAAAGGATGACTGTAAAAATAGTGTTGTGTATTTGTAAATGTTCACAATGTTGACAATAAAGGAGGAAGAAATTGCAAGGATTAACATGATGAGGTTAAGAAAAGGAGAGTAAGCTGGGCTGATTTTACTATAAGTTTATAGTAGTAGCTCTTAGCCCGTGAAAAACTCTCGTAGTAGAGAGCACAAAAGCTGTGCGTCTTGGGCATTGGAAGCTGAAAATTTTAGCATGCTTTGTAATAAGGATTTCATGTTACACATGAATCTTGTGGCAGAATAGATCCAACTTCTCTTTGAAAATCACATTTCTGTGTTTCTAAGCACTCTGCAGCATGAGAGGGGTATTAGAGTTCTAACGATACACTTGTGTGTATGAGAGCTGTGTGTCGTGTGTTGTTGTGTTCAGATAATGACGCTGCTCTGGTTTTAATACCTTTTAGGGACACAGACGGAAGAATGCTCTTAGATATTTTTGATGAAAATCTTCATCCCCTCTCGGTAAGTTCATCTGCCTCTTCTTCCCTTTCATGTGAACTGTCTTTCTTTCTGTCTGCTTCGTTTTGTTTCAGTCACCTATTTGGAAGTATTTCTTCCTTAGAAATCCGAAGTGCCACCAGACTATGACAAACATGACCCGGAGCAGAAACAGATTTACCGCTTTGTTCGGACGTTGTTCAGTGCTGCTCAACTGACTGCTGAATGTGCCATTGTCACCCTGGTGAGTGTCTGAGAAATGTCATCGGCGATCTGACAGACCCAGTTTTGTTCCCAAAGCTTGGGTTTGTATGATTTAATAGATCTAGGTGCTGCCAGGGAATTTTTTCTCACCATGGAGATCAAGGGAGTTTCTCAATGGGAAGAGATACTACAGTTCATTTTCTCGGGGAGAGTAAGTGATAGAAGAAGAGATTGGGTGACATGCAACACACAAGCCAGGGTTACGTCTTGCCCTCACAGTGATAACGTTACAGGCCACCAAGGTGACTAATAGAAAACACAGGTGGCATAAGTGCTCAGAACAAGAGGGGATGTTAAAAGCAGAAAGATTCCGCTTTTGGGAGGATTGCTGTGTGTCACTGTAGCTCCCAGCAGAGATTTGGGAACAGCTGTAGGTAATTTAATAGCACTAATAAGAATTGATGGGCCCATGAAGCATTCGGTGAGCGACTGGGACATGTTGGTGATGGCTCTTTTTTACTTGCACAGTACTTGTCTTTCAGGACCGTGTCACAGGATTGAACAATTGTACTCAAGACTGAAGTTTAGCTACTTAAAAATAGCACCACAAAAGAAGGTTCAGATTTTCAGCTGGTGTGGATCAGCATAGCAATGTAGATTAAAGGAGCTAAAGCGATCTCCGCCAGCTGAGAATTTCTTAATTTTCCTGAAATTTTTATCCTGCCAATTCTGACAAGTCTCTTCAGCTTTCAAGCACGATTTTGGCCATGTTCTTGACTCAGAGATTTTAAAAGAACAAAATGTTTTTTTTACCACTACAACATGTGGTTTCATAACAGCTTTGTTATGCACTTTAGATAGAAGAAGGGGAAATTGGAGAAGGTGGATTTTGAAGCCCAGACCTACTCATTTCCTCTGCTAATCTCGCTCCCTTGGCTTCTAAGATTAGTTGGCAGGCTTTTCTTCTTCAGACAGTCAGAATGAATTGTACTAGCCAGTACAGAACAGGAATATGAGAGAAATAGGGCAAGAAACACCCTGCAGTGCTCCACCCTTACATTTTCAAGTTTTACTCTACCTAGTTACTTGACCCAGCCATTACTTGTTTTGTGAAATGACATTTTGTCTGTCTCTTTTACATAATTGTGCAAAGTACTTGTCCTTCTCCCTTTTCTTCCGAAGTGTTTTCTGCTGGAGGAAAGATATGATGTGTGAATCAGTATGTTCGTGTGTAATTTAATTAATCTACTGTCAAATACAGTGGACCCTTGTTGTAGTTATCTGTTGTTCGATCTTAGGTTATTTGATCAATGAGGACACTGTTTAGTAGAAAGGAAGAGGCCTTTTTTTTAATAACAATATGTTCCTGTTATTGCAATGCATGGAAAGTTCTTCCCCACAAATCTTGTCAACCCAGGCAAATATTTCAGTATCTTTCATTTGTAACTGCTTCCTTGCCTTTTCTAGTTCTCATGTGCTTTCCCTGCAAGTAACTCTTTTGGTGTGATCTGCAATGAAGTTTAAGTGTTTTTAACTCATTTGTTATATTGCAGAGACAATTTTCATAGTTATTAGTGCTTGAAAACTTAGGTGTCTGGAGTTTTTTACCCAACACAATGTTAACAGATAAACAGTTTTATAGCCTAGTTCTCAAAGCAGCCGTGCAGATGTTTGCAGATAGATTTGGTGCAGGTGATCAGTGGTACTATTCTGCTATTCATTCTGTTTTCAGGATAATAGCACCTGCATGACCCCTCTTTCCAGACAGCTTTAGTGTTTCTGGATAAATAGTGTTTTACAAGTATGAAATTCTGCTGCTGCTGTTCTCGGTTACCTCTATACTTCAAGATCCCATTTCTTTATTTGTTAGTGTCATCAGGAGGGGCCCCAGAGACAGATCGTGTTGTTTCTGACATGTGCAAATGTGGAAGTTAATCTGTTAAAAAGCAATCAACCCTTCCCCCCTCCCCACACTCCTGATATCTTAAGACTGTTGATACAGCTATTTATGAACCCTCCAAGCGCTTTTGATTTTGATACCCTGTCTGGAGGAGAAGAGAGCAGCATTCCCGGCTGGAGCTTATGTTGTGCCGTAGTCTGGCCATCCGTCTGAGAGCAATCTGATAGCCCTGTCTGCCACTTGTTCCTCCTGGGAGCGCTGCCAGGAGGCAGGAAGTATATCTGTGGAGATCACAGTACATTTTGAACAAGATGCTACAACTGTTATCTTTCTTTCACTCACTCTAATTCTTTTCACTCACTCTAATTCTTTTCAAGCAGTCCTAACCACCCCTCTTTACTGCCCACATCATTACCATGGTCTGAGGTGTGTAGCTGAATGCACTGGCTGTTTGTCTTCTTAGCTGCCATCAGCCAGGTAGCAGCAGCAGTTACAATTGGTTATACACCAGCTGCAGGTTCAGCACAGGAGCTGAGTAAATGTGAAACTCCAGACTGTTAGATAAGCTAGTTCTCCAGCAAAAAGCCAGCATTGTGTTGCTTCGAGCACTTAATTAAAATATTTCAATTAAAGCCTCCGCTATTACAGCAAAACCAATTTATAATTAAACAAAAAATTTAATTTTCACACAGCCTCCAGAGCTGCCAAGAGATTTCCCTTACTGATAGGTGAAAAATTAAAATCTCGGGTTGAAACAATTAAATACTAATTCACATTATTTATTTATAAAATAATGCCATAAGAATAAAATTAGTTTTAAGAATTAATTATGTTGCTAATTTAAAGTCTTGCAAATAATATTTTTTGTCCCAATGAACAGCTGAACTATACAGTGACCTGACTTCATGACAAAAATAATGCTCACGTGCTTCTCCCTCGCTGCAGAGTATTCCCACCCTTGCTAAAACTGTCTCTTCACCATGTCCTCAAGTGCAGAGGTGACAAGTTGTACTTATGTTAATCTGAAATGTGGGCAGGAACATTTTCCATACCAAAAGGAAAACCATACAGTGTTTGCATGTCATGAGAATTAAATATTTATGCTTTGTTCTTTTGTTCTGTAAAAACGAAACAGACCTGTTCCGTAGACCTGAAGAGGAGAATGGTCCAACTTTTCTACTTTGCTTTGGCATGACTTTCTGGGTTTTGTGCAAACAGCCAAATCTAAGGTTCCTAATATACTTCAGTGTCCAAAGTAGTTTCAGAGAGGATGCATTTTGCATTTGCAAATAGGCAAATATGCCAGGTCTGTATGCTATAGACTGATCAGATACAGTGATATGTAAGTACATACAGTATGTGAGCCAAATTATTTCTGTGCAGTTCAGAAAGTGTGCTTTGGAAATATGTTACAAAGTTCATACTACAACTGAGAGGATTTGGTATCGGGAAATTTGAAATTTGAAGTACGTCAGAATAAATTCTCCTTATGAAAGACAGGCATTTAATGAATCCAGCCAGACATTCCTGAGTTCTTACTGTACTCTCCAGTCAAGTTTTCAGCAACTTGGTAGAGAATCTTGTTGAACTGAGTTGTGAAATTATAGTAGTTGAGGAGAATTTTGTTTTCTGTGTGCTTGGAGGAAAGGAGAAAGCTTTTAATTTATTTCCTTTCACTGGGATATTTTTACTTTTAAATACTGATAAAATTCCATATTTTTTTTTTTTATTTCAATTGAAGTATCAAAAACACAAAAGAAGGTGATCAGAAACCATAGAGACACTTGATCTGCAGCCCAGGTACTTTTCAGCTGGCCCAGTATAACTACTGATCCTTACACAGTTAATGGAAGATGCAGGTTCTTCTGCAGACCTGAGAGTACGATGAAAAGTACTGTTTATTGCCTGGTTTGAGAGCTGTCACTCTCCATCCAGTATAAGGGTCATGAGTGCAGTTGGGTGAGCAAGGCAAGGCTTTAGGCCTACTGGGATATACACCTTATAAAAAGTGAATACTGAAGCTGGGGGAGGGCATTATTTATTTTTTTCAGATTCTTGAGAGAAGAGGACATTCGTTCAAAGAATGGATGTCTGTTTTCTGATGCATCTCTAAGGGCTTCTGTGTGGGCAAAGAATGAATACTAATTCCAGTTTTACACTGGAAAGTCAATGAGTGCATTTTATATGTCTTACAGATCTTTGTCTTAAAATTAGTTAATTATGGTGCAAACCTGGGGATGTGTGACTTCTCTCAGCTCCATTAGTGCTTCCTACAAATATCTACAATGGTATTTTGTTGTTATTCACAATTTCAGAGTTTTGACTTTGTTTGTTATTCTTTTTCAACATTTATTCTCAAAAATAATAAAAAGAAATGGATTAATATGCAAGGCTTTGATGATGTGATGTCCTTTTCCACCAAATGGATGGCACCAGACCTTTGTGGAACATTTTAAATGCCCAGCTGGGCAACTGCAAAGCACAGTTATTTCTGGAGAGTCGTGGTAGGGAACTGACTGATTGCTTAGAACAGAGCATATGGCAATTTAGAGATTGCATTAGAGCTGTAATTTGGCTATATGGGATCCACTACCAATTATAATTTTTTCCGTACAAATATGTTTTTAGTTTCAAGACATTGTGGCACACTGAAGTTTTCTCATTAAAGAGAAAGGACTGTGTATTTCTTTGTGATGTGTTGGGATGGAAACTTTCTTAGTTGTCCCGTGCTCCTGCACCTTGTGATGTGGGTTACTTAGTGAGCTCATGTGGAGTTTAAATGGGAGAGGGAGGGAAGGAGGGTTTTGCAAATACATGTTCATTTGTAAATTCTCAGTTATGGTAATTAAAATACCCACAACATCATCTTCTTTCTGTCAATGTGAATCAAGTGAGAAATAAATAGAGCCACTGCAGTTTTATTGGTAAAACAAAGATAGAATTTGACATAAGCAGTATAAAAACAGCATGAGAGAAGATAATGCTTTTCTCTTGCTGCTGCCTTAAAATTTAGAATTGTTCCAGTAATGCCAGTGATGTTCCTCAATGATTGCCCATTTTTTAGCATGCTGAGGACTCCCACTCAGCCTCCCTGGAGGCAGTGCACAACTTCTGACCTCTCTGTGTTGCACCACAGGAAA